TTTTTTTTTTTTTTTTTTTACTAGGTCTCGGGTTCAATTCCCATTGGCTTCATGTACGTACATAGAGAGGCATACTTTTTTTTTTTTTTTTTTTTTGGGTAAAGTTTTTAAGGTGAGATTGATATATAGACGCGTAGCTCGATGGCCTACCTTCTTCCCCCCGAATACAACATACGGTCATTACAGCTGTATTTAGACTGAAAGATGCCCCAAGTACAGTTATAATGACCGTACGTTGTATTCGGAGGGAGGAAGAAGGTAGCTCAGTTCACAGGAGGCACACAAGTGGCATTCAATTAGGTCGCGGGCGGGCTCAATTCTCATTCCCATGGGCCTCATGCAGTCACGTAGGCGGGCTCAATTCCCATTCCCATGAGCCTCATGCATTTACGTAGGCATACTTGGTGTTTTTTTGGGGCATAAAATTTTAAGATGAGAGTGATATAAACGCTAAGGTGGATGGCCTATGTCAATTCGTAAGAGGCACACGCGGGTTCAAATCCCAATGGCCTCATGCACGGACATGGACGTACTTGGCGTTATTTTGGGGGAAAAATTGTGAGGTGAAAATAAATAAATAAATAAATAAGTAAATAAAAATAAAAAAATAAAAAAATTGTGAGGTGAGATTGCTGATGTGGACGCGAAGGCCGACGGCCTACCGTCTTCCCCCGAACACAACGCACCCTCATGTTGACTGTATCGGGCCGGAAACATGCCTTACATACGTTCATTTTCAGGGTGCGTTAAAAAAAAAAAAGAAAAAAAAAAGAAGTGAGGTGAGATTGTTGATATGGACGCCGAGGCCGACGGCCTTTTCAGTTCCAGGGTGCGTTATAAAAAAAATGAAAAAATAAAAATAAAAGAATTGTGAGGTGAGATTGTTGATATGGACGCCGAGGCCGACGGCCTGCCGTCTTCCCCCGAACACAACGCACCCATATTTTGACTGTATCGGGCCGGAAACATGCCTTGCATACGTTCATTGTCAGGGTCATGCCTTGCATACGTTCATTGTCAGGGTGGTGCGTTGTGTTCGGGGGAAGACGGCCTAGCTCAATTTGTAAGAGGCGCACAAGTGGCATTCAGTTAGGTCGCGGGTTCGATTCTCATTGGCTTCATGCACGTACGTAGGCGTACTTAGGGCCAGATCCCTCAGGCAAAGAGGATTGGAATAAGTGTCTGAATCGGGACATGTTGCACACAGAGATGCAGAGGAGGAGATCAATTACAGTTTTTGTGCACCTGTCCACAAACACGTCCAGATTCAGACACTTATTCCGATCGCTTTTGCCAGTGGGATCTCGCCCTTGGTGTTTTTTCTGGAGGTAAAATTTTAAGGTGAGATTGATATAGGCGCGAAGGGAAACAAAAAAAAAAAAAAAAAAAAAAAATAGACGCGAAGGTCGATGGCCTATGTAGCTCAGTTCGTGCGAGGCACACAAGTGGGGGCATTCAGTTAGGTTTCGGGTTCAATTCCCATTGGCTTCATGTACGTACATAGAGAGGCATACTTAGTTTTTTTTTTGGTTTGGTAAAGTTTTAAGGTGAGATTGATATAGGGCTTCGAAAAAAAAAARAAAAAAAAAAAGGGCTTCGMAAAAAAAAAAAAAAAAAAGGGCTTCTGAGCAGCTTCTCTATGTACGGAGTCATACTAGTCTTTTTTTTTGGTTTGGTGAAGTTTTAAGGTGAGATTGATATAGGGCTTCGCTCCACTACTCTCGAGATGCGCAAAAGACGAAAAAAAAAATGATGGCGGTGTATCTTTCCATATTGTAGCGGAAGATTCGCTCTCGTTCTGCACATTTCGAGAGTGGTGGAGCGAGGCCCATAGACGCGAACACACGTGGCATTCAGTTAGGTCGCGGGCAACCAGGTTCTGCCGAGTT